CAAGGAGGCCATAGGAGGCTTATCATTCCTTAAATAGGGTGCAAAACCCCGAGATTTAGGGTTTCATCTGTCAGTTCCTACTCGTCGAGTCCCTTAGTGGACTCGTCGAGTAGGTCACTAAACACGCGTTCCAACCCCGCTGCTACTCGACGAGTAGGGCAACCAACTCGTCGAGTAGGACATTAAACCAATTAACCTTTTATTTAAATCCATACCTGGAATCGGGGCGTTACACTCAGCCTCCATTACCTCCTAGATTAGATTGTCAAACCCTAGTCTTATCTTGTTGTTTTGAGCTCATTTCGCTTACTTGTTGTTCATTAATGGGAAAAGGAGATCATTTGTGGTAAAATGATACAGCTAGCAAGCACAAGCAATTCCTTTGAGTGTCTCTTGGACCATTATAAGTCTTAAAGGCTCAATCTTTGTGGTTCAGTCCTTATAGATATAGAGTTTATGTTAGTTTGGTCCATTTGATGATTTTTTAGTGATTGATTGTAATAAAGTTTGCAACTTTATTTGTCACTAGGGTCCCAAGAGTATTATATGTTTCAAATATGGATTCTCAACTTCATTTAGTGACATCCATGAGTTCTTGACCATATTTTCCTCTATTTTGACCTAGATTGGTGAAGGAATTTCATTGAACATGCATGTCCATAAAGTTATGATTTTTATGGTTCATTACGGTGCAATGAAGCTTTTTGGAAAGTATTAGTAGTGGACTTAATGAATTAAGAGCTTAATAAGTATTTGGATCTGCCAGCTTGACCACGACATGGTCAAGTGTTAACCATGGTATGGTGGGGAGATCCATCGCATTTTCTATTTGAGACAGACCATGACGTAACCAAGGTATTGCCATGACACGGTGGTCTGTATGGTTGACCGTTGACCATTGACTTTTTTGACCAGGTTGACTTTTGGTCAACTTAAAAGTTTTAGGTTGTAGACTGAGGTTTGAGCCTTTTTATTAATGTTTAGGTGGTGTGTAACCATCTTGTATGTTTCTTGTGAAATATGGTGTTATCTTCGTTGAGTGTGAGGTGAGTTTTCTCACTATACTATGTAGGATACTTGGAGACTGTCTTTGTGACTTTTTCGTGAAAGACCATGGGGGGCCATGGTAATTATATTAAAGACCATGTGGGTGCATGACAATTGTATGAAAGACGATGGGGGGGGGCATAGCAGGAAGACTGCAGTGGGGCTGTAACGACAGGAGTGATTGTAAGACTATGGGTGGACCATATCATTCATATGGGTTGAAATATACCCCTAGGGTAGGGCCCATTGTTATGTGTTATATGTGGTATCTTGTCGAGCTCACTAAATTGTGTGCTTACGGTTTTCAGTTTAAATGTTTCAGATACTTCTTGTAGCAAGGGGAAGAGCCAGACTTGATTGCATTGCATCCACCGAAGATTTCCGCACTATCTGTTTTATGTTTTTACTCTGATGTTTTGAGACTACATTTTATACTTTGATTATCTTCTGATGGAATGGAATGGATGGTTTTACCTTATTTAAATTGAAAAACTTAATCTATAATTTGGGACGTTACACAAAAGCCCTATAATGTTTTCAAAGTTGGTTGATTAAATCCTTAAAGTTATTTTGTTGTTTTATGGAGACATAAAGTGGATGCTTAGCTGCTTTTTTGGTCACTGTTACCTAATATAACAGGTTTCCTAAGCCACATAAACACTTTTAGCTGATGTGGCTTCCTTCAGATCCGATCAAAATTCAAAGAATTAATTTTGACCAAATGTTTGAATATTTTACCAAATACAAATTATCTCATCGTTAATATCATTTAATTAGATCAAAGCACCACCAAGTTTGTTTATTATTGATACTCCATATTTGACGATGGCTGATGAATTCTTTATTGGAATTGTGAGAATTGAAGTTGGTGGGTTTCAAAATAAATTGAAATTGTGAAATTTGATTCAATCTCAATGATGTGAAGTAATTGTAATGTTCATATGCTTCTAAAGGTACCTACTACCATCTGATGTTTCGTAAATGATGTCAAGAAGATTGAATGATTCTTTTAAACGATCAAATAAAAATGTCAAAATTGACATTCCAGGCAATGAAAGGATCAAGAAAAATATGGCTAATTCTCCTAAAATTAGTATAACATCATCTAAAACTCTATACAATCATTCTTTTATCCAATATGAGTCGTTTAAATCTCAATAAAATCATCTAAAATTTTGAGTTACTCACCAACAACAAGGTAAGCAACAGACGATAAGAAAATGATAGTTGAAGGAACAAACACAATCATCCAGTAATAATAAACAGTCTCTTGATTGGTAAAACTGAAATTTCTATCCTCACGACGGTTATTTGTTGTGGATTCAATTCGATGCTGTTTGCAGAAAGGGCAGTGTTGAAGATCACTGGGGAACACCATTTTGAAGCTGATTGTAGATGACCATTTTGTCTCTGCACCATTAGGTACCCTAATCCACCCCAAAGCTCTCGTCGGACCATTTTTATGCTTTCTCATCGATTTATGAGTTCCATCGCTCCAACTCTTCCATCCCCTTCACCGAAATATCCTCTCTGACCATTAAAACCATTGATTGCGTTCACTACTTGAATCAAAAACAAATTTGATGAAAATTGAACAAATTATATGAATTAAACACTGATTCAAAGTGACTTTTGACGGATTAACAAACCTGTCCCGGTTTAAGAAAAACGACGGTTCCCAAAATAAGAATGAAACCAGAATCATCTAGAACTTTCGCAAGATCTACACCTTGATCTCTGTTAGAACATTCATCAATACACATCTAAATAAACTCATTGTATGTTACATGATTCTATCCATCTGAGTTAATGGAGAAGAAAAAGCGAGAAGAGGAAGATGATAAGACAATCGATGGAAGGAGCGGATGGTCAAAGGAAGAAGGTGTTTTGTCATGGTGGGAAGAAGTTCAAAATCACCGCCGGCGAACTGATAAACAACCGATTCATGAGTGGCGGGTGATGGAGAAGATGTTAAGAGATCGATTCTTTGCTCTAGATTATGATCGGTTCATATTCAAGGAGTTCTATGCTTTTTTCTTTTAATTTTAAGATAGACTAACCATTATAGTTTCACCGGTTAGAAGTATTCCTTTTATATTGAACAATGCTAGTGAAAATTTGAATTGGGAGTTCTATTTTGTTTATGAAACGTTCGATTTTACTTATTACATCCTTGTATCTTGTTTTCGTTTTTTTGATGGGTTGGGGTTATTAACCAGGAATTTGATAGCTTCTTGGGGGTTGAAAGAATTGTTGGTGTGGATCAAAGAATATTACAATTAGGTAAAATCATATTTCTGTACCCTGAGAAACAAAACAAAGTAAGAAGATGATAAGACAAATATATAGATATAAAATATGTTATGTATATTGTCAGTGAAGACCAATTTACACTTTTTTTGTTTCAACTAGTTATAGAGTTTCAAAATGGATTTTGTAATGTAAGAGCTATCCAAGCTTAAGAAGGAAACCACATCTTAATATATATTTTATTAATGTTTTTGTTTTAGTTATGAGGAAGCCATTGTTGGTTTAGTAGAAACTTTGTGTTTTTTATTTGCCTTTTTCTCTCTAATCTCTATGTATTAAAAGAAACCTTTTTTTTTTTGGTTGCAAGTGCCAAAGCAATTAGAATGTAATTTTTTCTGATTCAACACAAAATCATTCACAAAGTTAAAATGGTAATGTTTTTTCATTTGGCACATTCATTCATTTTACCAAATATCATGTTTTCATTCATAACCATTTTCATTTAAAGCCTTTGAAGCATTCAGGTATCAGTGTCGGACGCAGGGTCAAAGTAAAAGGATATCCAAAAAAAATTGTGTAATATACAAAAATAAAAAAAAAGACCGCAAATTTCTTTAGACATAAAGTTCAAATGAAAGTTTGGCAAGAGAATTAGTTAAATAAGAAAAAAAATAAAAACCGTAATTTTAAAGACTAAATTTTGTAAGTTTGGCAAGTGAATTAGTTAAATGAAATACATTATTTAGATGTAAATGGATAATAATAATAATAATAATAATAATAATTTTTGGAGTATATAAGTTCAGGGTGTAAATTGTATTTTCCGGAAATTTGTTTTGTAAAGCAAGTTAGGCTGAGGGATTAAATTTTTCAGGATGCTAAACCTTAGGGACCAAAATAGCCTAATTCAGAAATCAAATTGTCTTCTTCGCTTTAACAACTATGCATCGACAAGAACTCTTTTCTCTTCCATTTTTGGACCTACATATATTTACAAATTCGAAAGTCTTTTGATCCCTACCCTCTTGTACACGATTATGTTTGTTATAGTGCAATCCCCCTCCCACCTTGAGTTCAAATCCCGACAGAAAGAGAGAGATAGAGAATTGAACTTCAGAGAGGTCATGCTTCTCCGGTGATTTTAGTGAGTAATGAGATCAGGAGAGAACTTCGTTAAGCAAGGGTGCAATGTGACCCACTTGCGATTTCTGTTTCACATTCTTAGAGAGATCGACAAAGATTAGAGTGAAAAGAAAGGTGAAGGTCCGATTGACAATGAAACTCGACATTTGTTAATGGTGGTGTTTGTATGCAAGTGGAGAGTATCAGGTTCCTGAAAAAACTTATACTACTGAATTTCTTTTTAGGGGCATCCCGGGCTACCCCGGGATCCAAGGTGGATCCGCCTATGTTAGGTATTTGAAACATTCAACGCTAAATCATTCACAGATTACCAAACAATCCCTACCTATGTTTTATGATATTTGAAATGTATTTTCACAAGATTGTCATGGCTTTTGGAATAAATTCTTACAAAATAATAAATGAAAAATAACTTAATTATTTGTCGTTAAGGTAAATGTATTACTTTAAATATGTATCACCTCTATAACCGTCGAACCTGTTTTGTCTTGGCATTACAAACTAGATTATGAAACTTATATAAGAACACATGATGTTTTATAAATACATATTTAACTTATGTATATATGAGTTATTTACTAAATGAACCATATTTGGATACCTTATGTACCCAACAATCCACTTTTAAGAAGATATCACAAAACGACTACGTTTTCCGCGAAAAAAATCTTGCGAATTTCCGAAATTAATTTTCCACTTTTAAGACCAATATTACTATTTTTGCCTTTTTTTAATTTAGTTAGCAAAAAGTTCATCAAAATTCTAACACAATCTTATGACTCTCACTAAACAACAAGAGCTCTTTAATACTAAGTTGATCACAACTTCATATTCAACAATAACAACAAGACAACACTAGGGTCTACATCTATCCCTTGGAGCATAAGAATATCCGACGATATTCCTGAATATCGCAGAGTATTGTTAACTTTCCTACCATTCTTGTAACAATAATCATTAATCAATTATCCATATAATTTGTACAAGTGTGTACCCCTGAGAGGACGAGAATTTGTTGATTACTGTGCAGACCATGGAATTAGAATGCAGAATATCGCTCCAAAAGTACCCGAGTAGAATAAAGTAGCAGAGAGGATGAACCGAACGTTGAATGAAAGGGCAAAGAGCATGAGACTGCATACATGTTTACAGAAGATCGTCTGGGCAGATTCGGTCAACACAACAACATATTTAATCAATAGAGGAGCCTCAGTCCCTATAGGGTTCAAGATTCCGGAAGAAAAATGGCAAGGTTAAGAGATTTCAATCAAACATTTGAAGGTTTTTAGTTGTGTCTCGTATGTAAAAGTAAAATAATATAAAAGATACAAGCTAGAGGCGAATGCAAGAAAGTAAACCTTTATAGGTTATTGGTTGGATGACCTGGGGTACCGCTTTTGGGATAATGAGAATAAAGGCGTTATCAGAAGTTGGGATGTGGTATTCAGTGAGAATGCATTATACAATGATGAACTTGAAAAGAGCCCCATCGGTAACAGGCAACCAAAAAAGAAGGAACAAGTTGATGTAGAAGAAATTTCAGATGACAATACTATAAAACATGTTAGTACTCCAAAGATATGTGAAATTTCATGAAGTAGTGGGAGCTCTGATGAACCGGAAGATAGTGGGAGCATGGGTGATAGTAGTTCAGAGGATGAGATTGCAGATAATACAGAGACAAAAACTCATACCATCTGTAGATCCACTAGAGTACGAAGGCCTCTAATCAGGTATTCTCCTTCAATAAATTTCTTGTTGTTGACAAAGAATGGTGAACCTGAGTCTTATCTAGAAGCCTTAAGGATGAAAGAATCCATACAATGGAAGAAGGCTATAGAATATGATTTGAGCTCGCTTGTGACATCCCCATTTTCACGGCCAGAAAAGACCGATTTTGTTTATGCTTTATAAAAATCAGAGTACCTCTTTTAATAAAAATGTTGCGGAACTTGTTCCCGGAAGAACATGATAAATACGTTATCAAAGCATTTCCGAATAAATGTATTTTTATTCATTTTCAAAACCTTGGGATGTCATTGTCAATACAGAAACATAAGCATAAACAGAACTTACATTCATTTACACTAGTGATCTACATCTCTTTAAAATCTCTCAGTGTAAAGTAGCTTCATATCGACACATGTGATAGAAATAAGCCGGAGTGGATCAGGTTGGGAAACCTGGTGAGTAAATAGGGTTTTCAACCCACAATAATATAATTATTATGTTTAAACAT